TCCCATACCCTTTGAACCAGAGACTCCATTATGGAACTCATACCCCAAAGAAGCTATCAATGAGAAGAAAGTCCCCACATATTCCAAAATGTTTATAGCATCACTTCTCATGATAGCCAAGAATTAGAAACAAAGTAGAATCCCATCATTTGGGGAACGTCTAAAGAAATTACGGTACATGAATGTAATGGAGTATTACTGTGCTGTAAGAAACAGTGTGTGTGGTGACTACAGAGAAGCATGGACAGATCTACATGACCTGATGCAGAGTGGGCCAGGCGGAGCCAAAGAAACAACATATACAGTAACCACAGCAAAGTGAATGGAAAGATCAACGACGCACCAAAACATAAAAGTGAATGTGAACAATAACGAAGATCCGGCAGGATTCAAGTGAAGAGACATGGAAAGTCATTCCCAGCCCAGACCTCTGTGGCGGTGAGAGCTCCTCCACCGTCAGGCACGTCTTTGGACTTTGCCCACTGTGTTAATCAATTACACTGACTTTTCTTTTCTAAAAATGCTATTTGTTATATGGGATGGCTCTCTGAAAGGTGGAGAGATACATAAGATAACTATAGTGATGTAACAAATGGAAAATATCAATGAAAACTTATTTTAAAAAGTTAGGGAGTGATGGCATGGACTAGAGAAGAAAGGGTTGTGACTAAACTCCTCTGAACAGAGCCCTCATTACACCGTCTGAAGAGGATAGAGAGGAGCAGCTGATTCAAACTTCCTGAAGTCAACAGTGGTTTGGATTGGATGACACAGTGAGGGTATTTTCCTTCTTATAGACCAACTGGTTCTCAGCTGGTCAGCAGTCGTGTTATGCACGGCCCAGGGTCCAGCCCTACAGTCCTAACATTCTTCAGCCTGCCTCTGGTTAGATGAAAACGCCACTGCGGTGATTCAAGCTGCCATTTTTGAAGATAAGAAGATGCAATTTTCCCCTCAAAAGAACAGGAAAGCCTCAAGGAGCAGGAGCCCAACTACCCAGAAACAGGTTGGGTAAACAAAGATTAAGAGGAAAATCAAGAGAGCCCTTAGTGGATAGGACACTGGACTTAAAGTCAGAAGGCCCCGGTGTAAGTCCTGCTGGCCTCAGGCACCTATGTGACCTATGCTGGGCAAGTGCCCAACATCTCTGGGCCTCGGTTTCCTTATTTGTAAAATGAAGTGGCTGAATCTACTTCTAAGGTTCCTTCTGGCTTGAAATGTCTCATCCTATGAATCTTATGAGAAGTTTGTTGTTGGTGGTGGTGGTGTTATCACTACTATCTCTTTTCAGTAAAAAGAGGCCAATGACCCCTATCATTCCCTCTCTTCTCCCCACAAATAGCTGCACTAAGGAATTCACTAGACAAACAAACAAATGAAAACACATGACTTCCAGCAGAAGTTCTGGAGTCACAAGGGATCTTTCCCAATGTCCAACAGCTCTGATGTTTGTAATCCTCTGTACAAAGAGAATTAACGTTCGGGATGAGGGCCCAAGGAACTGCAAAGCGGGGGTGCTCCAAGCCCAGGAAAGTGACCTGAGCAGGCTGGGCTTACTTAGGAAGCAGACAGATGAATCAAGAAAAGCTTCTCAAGGAGAGTGGGAACAAAGACTCTTCAGGCTAACCTGACATCATTTGAAAAATTCAGTCATCAGGTATTCACTAAGCACCTACTGTGTGTTTATATACAGCTGTCATTTACATAGTGTTTAAAGCTAACAAAGTACTTTAGAAATATTGTCTTACCTTATTCTCAAAACAACCCTAGGAGGTAGGCATTATTAGTATCTCCATTTTGCAAGTAGGAAATGGAGGCAGACAGGAGTAAAGTGACTTATCCAGGGTCACACAGCTATTATGTAGCTAAGGCTGGATTTGAATTCAGGTCTTCCTGAGCCTATATCTACTGTACCTACCACCTAGCTACCTCTATAAGCCCAGGTCTGTGCTAGGTGCTAGAGAACCAAAGCCAAAAAGCCAAAACAACCCTCCAAACACACCAACCCTATGCCTGTTCTCATGAAGCTTACGGTTTTGAGGGCGATCCAGACATGGGGAATACATGCTCATGGATAAGTCTATGAGAACAAAGACAAAGCAGTTAGACACCAGATTATTGGTGGAGGGGGACTGGCAGTTGGGGAGATCAGGAAAGGCTTCACGCAGAAGGTGGTCTTAAGATGCATCTTGCAGGAGGCCAGAGACTCTGTGAAATGGAGGTAAGCAGGGAGGGCCTTCCAGGCATGGAAGATGACCAGTGCAAAGGCATAGAGATGGAGTGGTGTTTCCCTTCGTCAGCAAAAAAGTGGAGTAATATACAATGAGGCTGGAAGGAGAGGTTGAGGCCACAATCTTAAAAAATTATCCTTTTAAATACATTATTTAAATATATTATTATTGATATCTTTTCTTTTAACATTACCTACATTTTCCACTATCAGCTAGGTGGATAGAGCGCTGGGTGTAGAGTCAGGAAGACTCATCTCCCTGAGTTCAAATCTAGCCTCAGACACTTACTAGCTACATGATCTTGGGCAAGTCACTTAACCCTGCTTGCCTCAGTTTCCTCCTCTGTCAAATGAGTTGGAGAAGGAAATGGTAAACTGTTCCAGTAGCTTTGCCAAGAAAACCCCAAACGGGGTCATGAAGAGTCAGACATGGCTGAAATGACTGAACAGCAACAGGGAATTTGTTGAGCTGGGTAGTGACATGCTTAGAGCTGTATTTAAAGAAAATCACTTGGACAGCAGGCAAATTCAAGAGGGAAAAAGATATAAGGTGGGGAGAGCCATTAGGGGCCATTACAGTAGCATAATCTGCAAACATCTGTAATATGAAAATAAAACATATCATTTAACATTTTGTTTATTTGTTTGTTTTTTGTCTTTTTGGCAAGGCAATTGGTGTTAAGTGGCTTGCCCAGGGTCATGAAACTAGTAAGTGTCAAGTGCATTTAACATTTTTAATTAAAAAAACAAACAAACAAACAAAAAAGAAATGTTTCCAAGAGGTATTTACAATTGAAAGGGCAGGACTGAAGCTCAAAGGAGAGAGCAGAACTGGATGGAGAGAACTGCAAGTCATCTGCATTGAAATAACAATTAAACTCATGGGAATGGATGAGGTTAAGAAGAGATGGAAGCGTAGAGAAAGAGAGAGAGAAGAGTGATCAGGATGGCACTGTGAAGCCCTCCCACCATTAGGGGATGTGATGTGGATAATTCAAAGGAGCTTAAGAAGGGGCAGTCAGATAGGTGGATGAGAACCAGAAGTGTTAGAAAAACAGGGTTAAATATACCGAGGTGGAGAAGGATGAGGTCTACAAAAAGTCCATTAGGTTGGGCAATTAAAAGATTATTGGCATAACTTTGGAGAGAGTGGTTTGAGGTGAGTGATGAGAGCAGAGGCCTGAGCAGAAAGAGCTGAACAGTAAGAAAGATTGGAGGTGACCAGTGTGGATAGGTTTTCCTAGGAGTTTGGCTGAGTAAGGGAGAAGCAATACAGGAGAAAGCTGGAGGAGAGAGGAATGTCTAGCGAATGTTTTTTTCAAGATGAGAGAGACTTGGGAATATTTGAAGATGGTAGAGAAGGAGCCAGCTGATGGGAAGAGATTGAAAACTAGGAGAGAAGAGGGGATGGAATCAAAGACAATGAAGAAGCCTTGGCCTTGGTGTGGAGAAGGACAACTTCACTATCAGAAACGAGAGGGAAGAAGGAGATGAAGACTGGAGAAGAAAAGGGGAGTTTTTCAATTAACCAGAGTGTTCAATCTATTCCAATCTAATTCTACCCAAGTCCCTGCTGGATCACTGCTTTATCATGATTGAAGGGCTCATGTAGCTTAATGAAACTTTGAGCTATACCATGCAGGGTTACCCAAGTGGACAGGTCACAGTGGAGAGTTCTGACAAAAGGTGATCCCTTGGAGAAGGAAATGGCAAACCAGTCCAGTATCTTTGCCAAGAAAACTCCATGGACAGTATTAAAATGATAAAAGAGATGACACTGGAAGATGAGCCCTCCATGTCCAATACACTACTGGCTTAGAGTGGAGAACAGCTCCAAGTAGCTCTATACTAATTCTATTGGAGAAATATTTATTAAGCTCCTACTATGTGCTGGGCAGTATGTCAGGTGCTGATGATACAAAAGGTAAAATCAAAATTACTTCTGCAGTCAAGGGGGGGGTTCTATTTTTCATTTGGGGGCCCACAGACTAACCCTCTCCACCAAGAGATGCATAGGGAGATTTCAGGGAGTCTGTCAACTTGAGTGGGAAAAAATGCATCTTAATTTTCACTAACCTCTCATTGAAATTCAGCATTTCCTTCAATTATATATATTTTTTAAAAAAATGGTTTTGAGAGGGGGTTCACAGGATTCATCAGAAGCCAAAAAGGGGTACATGCTGCACAAAGACATTAAGAACCCCAGACTAAGGGGAACACAACAGGCACACAGACATGTCAATAACAATAACAGTAGCTGGCATTTCTGAAGGAGTGAGTGAGAAGAGAAGGATTGGAGGTGGCCAGGGTGGATAGGTTTTCCACCTAAGGTTTACAAAGTTTACCAAAGGTTTTCTGTGATAACACCAGGTGGAGAGGGAGAGGGTCAGGAAGGGCTTTCATGGAAGATATGTCCCCTGACAAGAGTCTGGAGGGAATATAGGCTGCTAAGAGGCACAGGGGAGAGGGCAGTGTTTCCCAGGCATGGAGCACGCCTGTGGAGAGGCCAGCTAAAAGGTCAAATGCACAGACCGTGAGCTGGTCAGTTTAGGTGAAATGTTAACTGAGCGAAGGGGAGTGCTGCGAAATATCTGGACACAGGCAAGTGCTCCCCTTCCTGGTGGTTTTTGTTGGCTGACTTTGCATGGTTCTGTAGTTCCAAATCACCCTAACCCACGCCCAGACGCCCAGCTCATAAACGATCTGAAGCTCACTTGAGCAGGACACCCTCTTCTCTGCCTAACTGGGCAGCAAGCAAAGGCTTCCTTACCTTTTGATAAGCATCTGGAGAGAATCAGTGATGTTTTCCATAAGTTTGATGACTTCTGAGTATGTAAGATCTGTGCACGGGGTGCCATTGATAGAGACCACTTCATCCCCTTCACGTAGACCAGAGCCTGAGGCTTTGCTCTTGCCACGAATCTGAGTGGGTTAAAAAAAAGGAGAACATATTTCACAATCCAGTCATTTAAAAAATGCTACCTTTCTATAGGAAGAGATACAGAGGTTATATGTCTATACAAGTGTGGAAGAGTGGAAAGTCAGGTGGTAAACAAACATTTATCAAGCACTTACTGTATACCAGGCACTATGCTAAGTGCTAGGGTATAAGGGCAAAAAATGTCCCTGCCCTCAAGTAGCTTACATTCTAATGGGGAGGACAACATGCAAACAACTAGGTAGGTAGGTACATGAAGGGTAGATGGAAGGCAATTTGAGAGGGGAGAGCACGGGTAGCTGGGGAATTGAGAAAGGCCTCTTGCACAACATGAGGAACCCATGGGGGGGGGGAATTAAGAGGCAAAGGAAAGAACATTCCAGGCATTGGGCAGGGGGATGGGAGATGGGATGCTCATCCAAGGAACAGCCAGGAGGTCCATGTAGCTGGATCACAGAGCATAGGGAAGGGAGTAAAGTATTAGAAGACTGGAAAAGTAGGAAGGGATAAGCTAGAAGAACTTTAAATGTCTAACCAAGATTTTTATATTGCATCTAGAGGGGAACAGGAAGGCACTGGAGCTCACTGAGCAGGCAGGTGACATGGTCAGACCTATGCTTCAGAAAGACCACTTTGGCAATTTAGGGAAGGCTGGGCTGGCATGGCAGAAGACTTGGGCCAGGAAGACTTCCATGAAAACAAGGCTATTGCATTTAAGCAGGTGAGAGATGATGAGGGTGTGAGCCAGGCTCAAACAGAGATAATGTACACAGAGTACTTTGCAAACCTCCAACATATAGAAATTGATAACTGTTATTATTCTGCTACAAGGTCTGGGGGGTCCTTGAGACTTGAACCAAGGGTGGCTAGGGGCTCTCTCACTATATCCTTATTATATTATGGCTATCAATTTTAGACATTATTGTTCTGCCCTTTCCAGTCCCAAGAACCTTCTCCTTAACAGAGAAAACAGGAGGAATTTGAGAGTTGACTATTCTGCCTTCTTCCCTTTGTCCCATTCACCCCAGGTCACATAAGCACTTTCTCTGACTGCCCTCTTTCCCCCAGTATAGCTACAGAAAAGACTTCTGTGTCCTTGGCACACCTCACTGGTCTTCTTGAGTTCTCACATGCAACACACCTGGCCCTATTTAAAGCACTGTGCCACAGTTTGGTATTCGGCTACATGCCTTTGTTTCCAGCCTTCACACATGTCTTTGTAAACTCTCGTTTCATTTCCTGTCCACCCATACCATCTCTCTACAGCCACACACCTTTTTCTCTTTGTTGAAATTGTTTCTCTTTTTGCCTTCTGAAGTCCATCCTCAGAAGCATTCCATCCTTCCTTAGCAGCCTTCCCCTCTAGATGTCAGGCCATGAGTTCCCCCCAGCCTTCTCTTAACCCTTTGAAACCTTCTCTCCCATAATGTAGGATACAGGTGACAATGCCTCACTTTCTTCTCCTCTGTTATGAATTCAAGGATGAAACAGCCACTTTGCACAAGGCTCCTAATTTTCCACATCAGTAATAAGTTCCTCTTTGTCAGGGAATCAGGGCTAGATCCCAAGAGGCCACCATCTTTTTTACCTCGTGGAGGAGGGAATTTTAATCTTGACAATGCAATAAATGATCACCTGTCCTATTTTTGGCACAGGGAGTTTCAGCATTTGTGGGATAACTGAGGTTCTCCCAACCCCCCACCCCCAGACTCATTATTGCATCATACTTCCTTGTCAGGTTTGGGGTCTTTGCTTAACTCCTCACTGACTCCTTCAGTCCCAGCGGTAGTTAGCATGGTTCCATGACACTTCTGTTTTTCTTTCTGTTGAGTTTCACCAAAATGCTTTAAATTCCCCTCATATAACCTTAATATATACAACTCTATGCCTCCCTTTTATGGTCTTTTTCTTTTAAATTAGACATAATCTCCCGAAGTCATTTTCCAATCGTTGGACCCTGTTTACCCCGATGTGTTAAAATATGCCTCTTTGCATTTGGGTCTCTGGTTCCCTTTGCTTGTTACCCATAAATCCTTTATGCTCTTTCAATGATTAGATTTTACCTCCAGAGAATTATTGAGTGTCTTTCCTGATGTATATAGGCCCTTTTCTTCCTCCCTTCTTTTTAGCTTAAGAACATTTTGTAGAGATTTGTAAGATTCCTGGTTTTGTTTTGCTTTTGTCAGCCTTTGTAAGTGCATTCCTTCACTACCCAAGGGCCCATCATTGCTATATTTTAAGCTATGGTCCCAAGAGACCAAATCTTCCCGACATCATCTTTTTAGCCAGCTGTTCACTTCCAAAATCTGCCTTTCTCTTCTAAAATTCTTGCTTCTGGTTGGCCATAGAAATGAAAACACTAGTTTTGTGTCTAAAATTGTTGAAGTCTTGCCCAAGTTTTAAGAATGTTTTCTAGCTTCTTTCTGGCCATGTTGTTTGTTCCTAAGTGGTTCACTGGAACTGGATAATGGCCATCAGGTTTGACAAGTCTTGGGAGGTGCTCTTTCACATTCTGGATACACGCCCTGGAGCCACAGCAGACCTTTGTTTATCTTTTATTTATCTTTTGTTTATCTTTTATTCATTAGCTTTATCCAAAAGCAGAACCTTTTTTTTTTATCAAGGTACTGAGTTATTAAATTTTTAAGCATACACTCATTTATGTATATTTATGTGAAATTATATACATGTCCTATTGTTTAATGATTGTGTAAATTATAAAATATACACACTATAGTAATGTCAAGATGAAATAAAGATGACGCAAACAATATTTAAAATAATTTTTAGCTTACTAATAGTACAAACATTATTATTCTCAGGATTTTGTTTTAAACAATCAGTATGGTTCTACTGCAGGATTTATTGATGTAATTAAGAGGAGAGGTAAAAAAAAAACACAACAAAAGCCATACCAGAGTTCTAAAGATGACTTCAATTGTCACCCAAAAGTGCTTTTTTACCACTGAAAATATATATTATTCATGCAATATTTGTGAGATGTAAAATGGCAGTGCTCAAACTCCCTAAGATCCTCCACATAGCTTTTGTTTGTGTGGATTTCATCTATCAATATTTACCATGTTAGAAATAAAACCTCTTTTCATACTATTATTACTTCATACATCATGTTATCTTAAGAGCAGCCAGGTGCTACAGTAGAGTGTTGGGCCTGGAGTCAGGAAGATTTGAGTTCAAATCCAGACTCAAATACTCATCAGCTGTGTGACCCTGGGCAAGTCACTTGATCTCTGTTTGCCTCAGTTTCTCTCTATATAAGATAGGGATAATAACAGCACCTACCTCCCAGAGTTGTTGTGAGGATTAAATAAGATAATATTTGTAAAGCACTTAGCATAATGCCTGGCACATAGTAGGTACTAAAAAAATTAGCCATCGTCATGGTGAAAATAGTTTTGACATTGAAAGAGTCTGAGGGACCCCTTGGTGACTCCAGACCATACTTTGGGATCCATCTTACTACCTACTAGAGCCAGAATGGTGATTAAAAGGCAAAAGAAAAATAAAGAAAAAGATAGAAAGGGTCATAACAATATCTTTGGAGACTGAGTTGGGCTGGGTGAAGTTTGGGTGAAAGGACAAGAAATCCTGGTCAGGATGGGATCAGTGGCCAGAGAGACAGAAGAGGAGGCAGTTAATACTTACATGATTAACAAAAATATTTTTAGTGAGAACATAATGGAATATGCTTCATTATTTTGAAAAATCTCAGTTTAACCTTCTGTGATGGAACAATTTCAAGGTTGCTTCAGTTTATAAAAGTTCAGTTTATAAAAGACAAGTGAGATGGCTTATGATAGTAAGGGTCAGACAACCCAATTTTTGTAAAAGTGGGTCTCCATGATGCTGAACAGAAATGAAGACTTTCAAAACTATTTTTAAATGTAGAAATTTTCTTTGAAGGCATCAACACCATTGAATAGTTAATCTTTGACTGAAGTCCTTGGCTATTACCCAGTTCTTCTGCATCATGTCATCCTATCTTGTCCTGATGGGAGTTCAGTCTCATAAACCGTTGTTTTCCCAGGCCCAGTTTGAACATGAGGAGTAGCTGCACAAACTACATAGAGGAAGCCATTCCTGTTTGTCTGAATTAGTTCTTATTTTATTCATCCTTAAGAACGAGGAAAGCTTTTCCACCAGAGGCTGGAGGATTGTCAGGCATATGATCCAGAGTTTTACCAATTCACACTTCAATGTGTGGGACTTAAAACCCTATATCTATAGATAACAATATAGCATTTCAATGACACGTTAAGGTTTACAGAGTGCTTTACATGTCATCTCATTTGAGATTCACAATAACCCTGTGAGGTAGGCTGAATATTTTCTGTCTTACAGAGGAGGAAACTGAGGCCAAGAAAGGTTAAGTGACTTGCCCTGAGTCACACAGTTGATAACAGTCTGAGGCAGGATTAGAACTCAGGTCTTCCTGTCCCCAAGTCCAGCATTCCAGCCAGTCCAAGGCAGATAGGTAGAGTTGAGTGCTGGACTTGGAGAGAGGAAGGATCAAGATAGGAGAAACTGATGCAAATGAAGTGACTTGCCCAGGGTCATACAAGTGTCTGAGGCTGTATATGGACTTCGGTCTTCTTGACTCTAGGCAAAGTACTCTATCCACTGCAGCACCGCCTAGGGGCCTCTTAATAGCACACATTTAGTAAATGCTTATTGCATTGAATTGGATTAGATTTCCAGGGGAAAGAATGCTGAAGCTTGGAGTCCAAAGGCACAAAACTTGGGTATGGCTAATGGCTTTCCTCTTCCTTAGCTATGTGATTGTGAGCAAGTCATGGAAACTCTCAGAGGCTCAGTAATTGTAAAATCTATAAAACAAAGATAATACCCACACTACCAACTTCCTAGGGTATTGGTGAGGAGCCAATTTGATTGCAATAGAATCTTATTTTCTTGACAGGTAGGATTTACCTGCCAAGAGCACAGGATTAAGAATTAAAGGACC